CTTATACTTATTCTATTCTAACTATTTGGGGGTATGGGGTGGTAATCAATTGACGTCAACAAAATTATTCTATCATATTAAATATGAAAAAAAAAAAAAAAAAAAAAAATTCTTATCATAAATTAATTTAATTTTGAAAAACAAAAGCACAAACATCTATTTACCCATATAAGTATAGATATGTATATATAGACATTTATTTATTTGAATAAGAACATGTATTTTACAAATCTATAAGTGCATATGAAATAAAATAAGAAAAAAAAAAAAAAAAAATGTTCAACTAAAAATGATTGAGTGATTTTCAAAAAATCAATCTTGAGTGATTCAATCAAAAAAAAATCTGCATCAGGGTAAAAAAATTCACGATTCATTCCAAAAACAGATTACACTATGCTGTTGAAGTTGTGGCTTGTTTTGCTATGTGCTCTTCCCTCATTGGTTCATCAACATTAGTGATTGAAGTAAGGGAAGGTGATGGGATATTTTGATGAGGTGATGGGCTATCAACCGGTCGGAAAAAACCAGGGGAATCCACACTAGACAGAGACTCAGGAGTTCCTACGGAGCTTAAAGATCCCGGTAATGGACTCAAACGTTGGGGCATAACAGATCCTCCACAGCTGAGTCTCTTGGCAGGGGGCGAAAGGTAATTACTTTCTTTATCATCATCTAAATCAAATTTCCTTTTCATGATTCCTAAGGTACTTGGTCGCAATGCAATAGGACTTAAGCTACGCCTGAAAATATGCAAAATAACCTTTTTTTTTTTTTTTTATTTATTTAAATAATCAAAAAGTTGAATTTAATTTTTAAAAATTAATTGCTTTCCAAAACCAAAAAAATAAATATGAAATCAATGAATAATGTTGTTTTTTTTTTTTTTTTGTTCCTTTTTGTATCCAAAGTCACATGGTTTTTTCCTTATTTATTTAATTTGAAAAAATTAATGGAAAAATTACCTTGTGGCAAAAGCCTTTCTCGTTGGACTTGGGGACAAATTCCATGATGTTTGAAGACTAGGAGAAAAATGTCTAATTCCTGTACGAGTGGGAGATGGAGATGAACAATGGGGTACAGATGGAAGACTAACATGAAGTGGATCTGTTACTCTTTGGATAAGCCTCTTTGATTCTAATCTTGAGTTTTGTCCATCAGCTTCTGATTTACATGATAGAGAACTTGATACCAAGGTCAGGTCTTCCCACGACTGAGACATCTGCATCGCAGAATGTATTTCTCTTTCATGAGCAACTTCACGTCCCACCACATCTATGCATTCTTCCTGTCTAAGTTGATTTACTCTGGGAGTTAATCGAGGCCCCTTGATATAACAACAAAAAAAATTTGTCAATGAGAGCTATCGTTTTTTACAAAATCAGTATTACTTATATATATTTATCTATTACTTAAAAGATAATTATTATATAACTTACTGAGGTATGTGGGCTAAAACTGGCACTAAATCTTCTTGTTCTGGCGGATGAGGCATCTAAACTGTTAAATGAAGTAGATTCCCTATAAAATATGAAAAACAAAATTGATATCACACTAAATTTTTTTATAATGAAACACTATATATGTTATAAAAATAAAAATAAAAATGCAAACATAAATGATTTCCATGAAGAAAAAGCAAAGGATATTTTAATTCGTTCAATCCGATTTTGCGATTGACGGATATGCATGCCAAGTAAAAAAAGGAAAAATACCTAGAAGAAGTTGCCGAAGTTGAAGCTACAGCCATTGTGGTATTAATGTCATTTATCATAGTGCAGAACTCGAACGCTTTAAGCTAGCAGGGAGTCCACATCCATTACAATTTGTGTATTTTTTAATGACATCAAAATATGTTGTAAGCTTTTGCAGTACAAATATATATATATATATTCTTTACATTAAAATAAGTAATTAAAAAAAAAAAAAAAAAAAAAACACGTTCACTAAAATAATTTTTTCGTTTTATAATTGAAAAAAAAAAATAAAAAAAAAGGGGAAAAACATCTCACATAAAACGATCCGAAAAATTTAATTTATTAAATTGAAAACTGTATTTGCGGCACAGTTTTTCAAAAAAAAATATATATATTACTAAACAAATTCGTATAAATAGTAAAGTTTGATTTTGGTAAAATTTTTGCGATAACGTTAAATAAATGTATTGAAAAATTCACAAAACATTTTTAAAACATATTGGAAAATCTAATTTTTAATAAATATAAAATAACTTAACGATAAAAACGAAAATTCATTCAACTGGAGTATTATTGAAAAAGACAAACAAGTACCAAATGTACAAATGTAACAAGGATGCCAACTGTTTCAAATTAAATTACGAATTTTTTTTTTTTTTTTTTTTTCATCCCTGATTCAAATGATTTTAATTAATACGTTAAAGAAAAAAAAAAAAAAGTTATTTTAAAGCCTATTATTTATTAAAAATTTTTTACACGAGTTACCCGAAAACAAATATATATATAAAACGATATATTTGTTTTTTTTTTTGAAAAAAAATTTTTAATATAAATGAAACTTAAATTTTTTTTTTTTATTAACAATTAATCAGATTTTGTATTAATAATTTCACGAGTTTAAATGATGTCCTAAAACTTGTACATAGTCAACATATTCAAAGATATTCCCTTTTGATGGTAAACACACTTGAAAGTCATCAAAAAAATAAAAACAATTATCCGATTTTTTAAAAAAAGGGAACTAACTAGAGTTTCCGACCCGATAACTCAAATTTCTATAAATACTTAATCATTTAAAAAAAAAAAAAAATGAAACAATAAAACAGACGAATGTAATTGAAATCCAAAAAGAAAAACAAACAAAAAAAAATTAATATTAAAAAAACGGTGAGATTATCATGAGAGTGTACAATTTGTTAATAACTGTTTTCATTTTTCTAAAATCTTTTTATCATTATAAATTTTGTATAAAAAATCAACAAAAGGGACTCCCTGAAAAAAAATAATGAGTCAAAACTACAAGGTTAAATATCTTGTGTCAACGATTATTGTTTAAAATTTCCAAAAAAAAAAAAAAAAAAAAAAAAATTGCAATGATTATTAAACTTTGAGTGTCACTTTTACAATAATATCTTCATATTGAATTCCTCTGAAAATTTCAAAAAACATTTAAATTTCATTTAAAAAAAAAAATAATAATAATAACATTAAACAAGTAAAACTTGTATAAACACACATTTATGTGGATACAATTTGTTAATAATTGTTTATTTTACATCATTTCCCAAAAGTGTTTCGAGGATATTGAAACTTTTATTATTGGATTATTTATTACCATGAGTACAATACATTTAAAAAAAAAACAAAAAAAATATTTAAACAATTTATGTATATATATATATATATATATATATATAAATATATATATTTAATCAACATAAAACGCACCAGAGACAGTTTTAACATTCAAAAAGCATTTTACAATATTTTTTTTTTTTTATTAAATAGTTATTTGAATTAATAACAAGAACCGATTTGAACAAAAAAAAAAATATATATATATATATTTTTTTTTCATTTTTGCCAAACGATAATTTATTTTTTATTTTTTTAAAAAGCAATTTAACTTTTTTTTATTTTTATTAATATATATATATATATATAAATATTATTAAAGTATATTTTTCCGATTTTCCTTTTAATCAACTCGTTAAATGTTTTTTTTATTGAATAAAAATATAAAAAAATAAATATATGTGTAATTGAGAGTCGGTAAAAAATTATCAAAGTATTTTACATATAATTATTTTAAAAATAACATTACCAAATGTTATTTCACGTTTTATAATAATAATAATAATAATAATAAAAACAAATTATATTTGTTTAAATATAAACAAAAAAAATTTTATACATAATTTATTAAATAGATAAATTTAGCACTGGCAGAGATATTTTATCTAGCACCAAACATTATTCGTTAAACAATAAAAAGACCCAAAATAAATATATATATTTAAATTAATAACAATTTTATTCGGAATATCTTATGGAAAAAGGAAAAAATTTCAATTATAATAAATGACGTCAAAAATTTAAAAAAAAAAACCAACGGATCCCCCTTTTAATATACATATATCGTAAAAAATATAAAATTTAAAATCATGTTGATGCGTAAAAGGGGGGGGCGGGGGGAGGGAAATTTAAAATATTAAATTAAAACATTAATTATTAACAAAACATATAAATCAAAATAATTACATTTACAAAAAAATTTAATAATATGCCGTTACAGAAATGATATAAATAATTTCAATTCACATTTAATTATATATATATATATGAAACAATAATAATAATAATAATAATAAAATTGTAATCGTAATAAAGGGTACCTTGGGAAAAAACATATATATATACCTAAATTCTATGTATTAAAATATATATAAACATAATTAACAAAAATTTACAATAATAATAATAATAATAATAATAATAATAATAACAATGTTGAATAGTTTAACAAAAATAATTTTAATATTTATTTATATTCAAGTGGACATATTTAAAGTTTCATGTTAAAATTTTATTTCATTCATTGAAAGAGATTATAAATGAAAATCAAGAGATCGCCTGCATTTTCAATGTATCAGGCACAGGCATTATTTATTTCATTTTATTCCAATACGATTTTAAATAGTACTAAAAAAAAAAAAAAACAATACTATTGAAACAATCATAACTTAAAAAAAAAAAAAAAAAAAAAAAAAAAACAAAGAACAAATCTGTAACACATTAATAATAATAATAATAATTATTATTATTATTATAAATTAATTTTTGTTTTACAAATAATATTTATTATTAAATACGTGTGTGTGTTTTCAACAATTTTAATGCGATTATAATAACGTAAAAAAAATTAATTAAACTAATTAAATAAAACTCCTTCATAAAAAATTATAAGAATAATTAAATGCCAAGAATTTCCAACAAATATTTCATGAATATTACATTATTAATTAAAAAAAAAAAAAAACTACTTATTAAAAATTGAGAAAGAGAGAGAGAGAGAGAGAGAGCAATTAAAAGTAAGATTAATAATAATAATAAAAATATTTTTAAAAAAAATATTGTTGATTTTTTATCATTTCTCAAATAAAATAATTAATTTAAAATTATTTATTTTATCATTTTTGAAATCTTGGAATGTAAAATAAAATTATATTATTCAATCTATTCGCTAAATCATTTTTTACCCTTTAAATTATTGCGTTTAAAAAAAAAAAAATTATATATATATATATATATAATAATAATTGTTGTTGTTTACATAAGTAAATATAAAAATTATTTTATTTAAATGGGTATTATTATCATCATGTCCTATAAGATATCCCTCTATATGGAATATTACTAAAAAAAAAATATTCATGACAGTTTTGAGAGTTTGTTGATCAAAATTTAATTTAATCATTTTAATAATTCATTAAATAATATATATATATGAATAAAGAAAGAATAATATAATAAAATTACCTTGGAATTAATTTGTTCTAAGAATAACTATAAGTAAATAATACAAAAAGTTTCACTCTCTCTGTAACATTTAACAAAATTATTAATAATATAACAGAAATAGTTTAACGTTTTTTTTTTTTAAATACGTGGTAAAACCTATAATAGCCTGTCAAATTTTAGTTTTCGTTCTTAAACACTACACTGTACACATTTAAAAAAAAAAAAAAATTTACTCAGATGAAAGCATTTTTTTTTTTTTTTAATGGAACATTTTAAAGCGATTTAATTGCACATTTAATTGCTTTTAACAAATAAATAAAATAAATAAAAATAATAATTTTTTCTCTTCGCACTTGCAAATAATAAAATATTAATTTATATATATATATATATATATATATATATATATCTGTTAAAACATAATTAAAACTAGTTAACAATTTTGAGGTGGTCAAGTAATAGAAATTGATAATGTAAAAAACTCATTGCAAAACGGAAATAATATTAATTAAATTTAAATCATTATGTTGAATTATATTTGGACATTAATTTAATTTTAACCCCTATTTGACTTTAAATGTAAAATACATTCCGAAATTTTCTTATTTAAATACATATATTTACGGTCTTAAGCAAAAAAAAAAAAAAAATTATACTTTAAAATACTTTGAACCATTGAAATGAATACAATTATTATTATTATTATTATTATTATTATTACTTTTGTTGTTGTTTGACTGTTTCTTGGCATTAAACAAACAATAAATTTTAATTTGTTTTTTAGACTTAATTCTCAATTCTGTTATTTTTATTTTTAACAATTTCCGTGTTTTTCATTAAATAATATATATATATATATACGTTCGTGAATGTGTGTTTGTGTAAACATTAATTATTTATACTATTAAATACCTTTATGAATCATAAATCAAAATGAAACTGTATAATTAATAATAATAATAATAATAATAATAATAATAATAATAATAGTAACGAAAGAATACAAATTTTTTTTTTTTTTTACGGTTACCTCTATTTTTTATACTTGCATTAAATTCTTAATTTTACAAAAATAATAAAATTATAAACATAAATAAAACGTTGACACGATTCCTAAATGATAATAAGAAGTATAAATTTATGAAAACTTAATCATAAGACTTTAGAAGAATAATTATCAACTGTTTAATTTAAATACTCTATAATTTATTAACAAAATATAATGCTAATATAGCAACTCTAATGGTAAACAAAAAAAAAAAAAAAAAATTTTAAATTATATAAAGAATGTATAAATTATCATTTATGAATTTAATTATACATTAAGCAACGATATAGTAAATTACACTGTTTTTTTTTATAATTTAACCATTAAATTCATAAAATTTCGATCAGCTTTTTGTAATGGAGTTTTTATTTACATTAATAATCATCATTTTTATTGTTTGTCGCGTTTGATTTTTCTCTTGAATTCTTAACGTTAAATCTTCTGTTTTAATAATTAAATATGTGGTAATAATTAACCACAGAAAAAACTTTTTTAATTATATTTATATATATATATATATATATATATATATATATATATATATATATATATATATATATATATATATATATATTTCTGTGTGTCTGTCTCATTGTATGTGTAAAAATTAAATGGAACATGTAATATTATACGAGTGATTGAGAGCCATGTTATGCGCAGTCAGTGTCGTTTTTTTTTTTTTTTAAGAACGATAAAACCGTACCACGATCAAAGTTGAGTTTTTTCATTTCATTCCCTAAAAACTGGACATAACAATTTATTTCCGGTGCCCACGGTAGGACATCTAACATTTTTTATTTAACAAAAAAAAATTTTTTTTTTTTTTTTTTTGTTTTTCATGCACGTTTCAAGGGAGTAAACATTCATTTACAATGAGTCCGTCCATGTTTAATTGTGAGCTCCCCAATCTATCATCCTTTGCATTAAAACGGCTACAAGCACGGCAAAAAGCGAAAATATACTCAATATAATTATAGCCCATTGCTGATCGGCAAATTGACGATTTTCTGGAGGCTAAAAGTAAAAAAAAAAAAAAAAAAAAAACAAGCGTTTTATAGTGCAGTTTAATTAGAAAATCAAATATTTTATTTTTGTAACCTCTAAGATTTTGTAAAAACATATTTATATATATGTATAAATTAATATTGTTAAAGTTGAAAAAAAAAAACAAATAAAAATGTTCTTACCTGCGTTGCTGCAGTTTTAACAACGGTAGAAATTTGAGGGGTAGCTGGAAGAGTTGAAAACGTCGAAGGGGCACAGTAGGCACCCGATAATTCGTTATCGCTAGAAATGCGAACGGGACAAACTCTAACGCTGTAGTCAGCACCAGGTTCTAAATCGTTAAGAGAAATTCTACATTCTGAACCTTTGTATACCTGTAAGAAAGAAAAATATCAGAACTAAAGATTTCATATATATATATATGTTGTATACATTCTCGTTATATGAAATATAACAGCGTTTGGAATTTCATTTTTTTTTTTTTTTAATAAAAGAGCAAAATACAAATTCGAACGAACTTGCAAAAACATTAATATAATAAGGATTAAATACGAAAAAAAAAAAAAAAAAAAAAAAAAGAATAACAATAAACTAAAATGAAAAAAACGTCTACGTTAAAATTAAATATATATTTATTTTTTACATTCTTATTCATTTCTAATGTTTTTTTTTTGGCGGGATATATGTGAAAAGCTGAAAATATTTAAGCATGAGAGTATTTAAATTTCAAAAGAATTTATTCTATATTTTCTTTAGAATCTCATATGCCGTCTCATCTCATCACCCAATAAACACAAAACAAAACAAGGAAAAATAAAAAAACTAAAATATTTAAATACCTGTTTATAATCTTGATTTCTAACTCTGGAAATCTGAACTTGATAGCGGACGGGATCGTTAGAGTGTAATCTGCAAGGTTGCCAGTCAATGGAACAACTTTTTTGAGTGATATCCGTAATTTTAAGGTTTTTCACGCAAGGCGGTGGAGCCATTGTTGTTGTAAAACAAACAATTTCTGAACTATCTCCTTGACCGGCATTGTTTGCGGCGGATATTCTAAAACTGTATTTTGTGAGTTCTTGTAAACGTGTTAATTTGTGTGAACGACTTGCACCCTGGTAAATGACTATAAACCTAAAATAATTAAATATTATTAATTTGGCTACAATTCAAATTGTTCAATATTTACGTATAAAGCATAATAATAATTATCGACAATTCATTTGCTGCGACATATTTTTTACTTATTCAACTAAAGCATCAAATTTAAATACCAGTAAAAGGTAAAAAGTCAAGTATTTATACTTTTTTACAATGGTCGGAATAATAAGAAAATTAACGTAAATGTTAAAGTGACGTGTTTTATCGCCGAAAGTATTGTTTCTGTTTTTATTGTTTTTTTTTTTTTTTTTTTACTTAAAACGTAATCCCTTAATAATCTCACAAGAGTTTATTTCCTTTTGTTAAAAATAAAAATAAAAGTTGACGTGGTCAAAAAATTTTAGTATTTAATTAATTCTGGGTAAGTATAAAAACATTTTTTATTTTTATAAAGATCGAAAAGGGATGTTTGCACTATACTGGTATTTAGGAAAAATTTTTGACGTTACAAAATTAGTTCAACATAGTCTAGAAAATAATAATACCGAGTGCGAATGTATAAATTTATAAATTAAGTTGAAATTTCTCAATGTTCAAACTAAGCAAAAATTCCACATTTGAAACAAAAACCCGACAAGTATTAATGCAAATAATAAGAACTTACTCAGAAGATCGAGGATTTTCCATTTCTAGCTTGTATGTGACGTTTTCCATACTTTTTAAATCAGTCCATTTTAATTTAATAAAATTATGACCGGCATTAACACATTCTAGAGAAGGAGGCGGCGGGGGTAACGGAGAAGTATTCGCTCTAAGAACTTGTGAAAACGGTCCGGCTCCGACACTGTTTACTGCTTGAATTTTTATTCTATTCGAAAATTATAAATTTTTTTTACATTTAAAATTATTTAATTTTTTAAATAGATTTCTCGTTCGAATAATTAATTGTTTTTATTACTCACCTGTACGTTGTATCCGGTCGCAAAGAATATAGCGTGTGCTCGTTTAACGTAGATCTTACTATTTTATCGCCCGTATCAATATTATAATGAGTTATTTCGGATCCGTGATCCGATGGAGCGACCCAAGAAAGTGCTAAAGAATTTGATGTTGCGTGATATCGAAGAGCTCCAACTACGGCAGGAGCAGACGGAGGAGTAACAGTTTGGCATACCGGAGAATATTCACTAGGGCCAGCATTATTAACGGCTTGCACGCGGAATAAATAACTTGTGTTAGGAAGAAGAGGTTTAACTTCACAGCTCGTGTTTAATCCGTGGTAAACAGAAATGAATTCATTTTTTTGAAAAATACTCATTTCTACGTTGTAGTCAATGATGGGAGCACCATTATGGGAAGGTGGCATCCAACTGACTGAAGCCAAGTGCGGAGATTTGCAATAAACCTGAGGCTGAGCGGGAGCATCCGGAGCGGCAGCGCCGCTCAGTATTTCTACTCCTTCAGACCAAGGCCCGACCTATTTTTAATGACACAAATTAAAAAAATTCACTTAAAAATCAATGATCATTGACACAAAAACTCTTACCCCAGCTTTATTAATTGCTCTAACGTGAAAAAGGTAAGGCTGTCCAGGTGATAGATCATTTACTACGCATTCGGTTTCAACACCCCGATATACAAGTCTTTTGTTTGCATCTGGAGCCGTCATTTCAACTTCTAGCTCGGTTACTGGCGATCCTCCATTATAGTCTGGATAATCTGTCAAAAGTAATTTTTTTTTAAGTACAATTTTAAGCAAATTTGAATAAGTGATTTTCTTCTGTTTACCAGAAAAAAAAATTTTTTTATAGATTTTTAAAATTACCTTAATACCTTTAGTGTGCATAAAATTTAATAATAAATAACTACTAAAAAAAAAAAAAAAAAAAAAAAAAAAAAAAAAAAAAAAAAAGAATAATTTTATAAACTTACTAAATTTAAGAGTGAGACTGTGAGGCCTAGATTTACCATATAGTCTCGGTGGACCACATGGACCAGGACAAACACATTCTGTTGTAACAGATAGGAAATCAGAGGGATCACTTTTTCCACCAGGCCCACTGCAATACACTCTCACCTGGTATGTATGACCAGGTTTTAATCGATCTACCATACATTCAGTTTCAATTCCTTCAAATATTTTTTCGTAACCTAATAAATTTAGTACAACAAATATTAGTAATCAATCACACAAAGAATATTCACACTCTAACAATAAATCAACTCAAATAAATCCTGGGGAAAAATACCATTTTTTGTTGCCATTTCGACAAAGTATCCTGTAATTTCCGAACCTCCTTTGTCGACAGGAGGATCCCATTTTACTTTAAAACAATGAGCGTGAATTTTTCCTTTTACCGATAACCTACAAGGCGGACCAGGGCGTGAGGGTAAAGTTGTATAAATTACTTCATCCGACCATCGTGACAACCCTTCTTCGTTTTGAGCTCTTAACTACAGAAAAAAATTTCATTTTTTAAATATTTTAAATTAAAAATAAAATAAATCAAATTGAAATATAACTTTATTAAGTTAGAATTATTTTTAATCTGACATTTGTAGACGGAAAAAAAAAAAAAATGAATATCGGTTTAGGTTTTTAAGGCACGTTTTGTTTTGTAAAATGACGACATAAAAGGGGGGAAGGGGATAATAAATCTCTGATGTATCGGTCGATGCCATTTAAAAAAATTTTTTTTTTCCACTTAACTTAAATAAAAAAAAAAAAAAAAAAAAAAAATTATTTTTCAAATCTAATAATTTTATTATACCGAAACCATTTTTTCAAATAATTCTTTTTTTTTAAAGGATTCACATGTTATGATAATTAATATCATCAAAAAAAAACTCAAATTGGTTTTGAATTCAAAATTTAAAAAAAAAATTTTTTTTTATTTTAAAATTTCCGTTCGTTTTTGAAAAATTTCAACGGATTTTCATTTTTTTTTTTTACGTTTCCATTGATTTTCTTTTTTTTATCGTAAATGAAGCAAAAGTTTTTTTTTTTTTTTAATCCCCGCAATAGTAATTAAAATATTATTTTGATAATATTCATGTAAAAACGATTGAAATAACTTTGTACCAGATTTACATTAAAATTGTAATTTTCTTAAGGAGCGTAAAGTAGTTAAAATTTTTAATTAAGTATTTCTAGAATACAGTTTTTTTAGAATAGAATATTCCGTTTGGTAGAGGTGAGAAAAACTAAAGGCTATAAATGTAAAAAAAAAAAAAGAGAGTGGGAGAGAGAGAGAGAGAGAGAGAGAGAGAGAGAGAGAGAGAGAGAGAGAGAGAGAGTATTTTTTATATGTCACAGGGAAAAGAATATTTGGAAATGTTTGCTTTCGTACCATTGAATTTCAAATAAATTTTAAAAATTTATGATAATTTACTAAATTGACAAGAAATTTTAAGATGTCTTTAAGTAAAAAAGTATTTTGTCTGAAATGTACTTAATATTTGCTACGTGACATTAATAAAATCGAACAGAATCGAAACTATTAACTAACTATGGTCAAAAAAAAAAAAAAAAAACACTTTAATATTCTATAACGGAAACGTTAAAATATTGGCATGTAAAAGGTGTTAAATATTATTAAAAAAAAAAAACAATAACTTGCCCTGAATTTATACTCCGAATAACGGATTAATTTATCAACATTGTAACACGTTTCCCTTCCATTGTAAACAGATAAAAACCCGTGGCCAGATCGTTGATCATCCATTTGTAGGGTGAATTCATCATCAGAAGGATTCTTGATCCAAGCCAATTTTAAACTATTGATGCATGCTTCTTTTAATATTGGTGGAGAAGGTTGAGTAGGAGGTATGCCGCAGGTGGAATACATAACAATATCAGAAGGAAGGCTGCAAAAAATTTTACATGAATATCAAAGTTTAGAATTTTTTTTTAAGTAATAAATTAACTAGCTAATGTTTTTAAAATTGTCAGGAGTATTTGATTTTTTTTTTTACTTAAAAAAAAAAAAAAAAAAAACCACAATTTCATTTTTATTAAAAAGAAATAAAATTATTCTATTTTTTAAATATACTGAGTAGAACTTCATATATAATAAAAAAAAATATTCTTATTAAATTTGTAGGTGAACTAACGAAAAAAATAATACGAATATTACCTGTACATGTTCTGTCGCATTTAAAAACAAACACTTTTAAAACGCATCGAAATTTCAGAAACAAAACTATTCAAATAATTGAAAATTTAATGGCTGTTTCATTTATTTAAAAATTTTCATTCACAAAACTATGGATGAGTTTGAGTCGGTCGGTCGTAAACAAAAAAAAATGTTTTAAATAGATTGAAAAAGGCGTGCACGGAATTTCAGAATATGAAAAATACGCGTCAAAAATTCTTTTTCCAAGGGGAATTTCTTTTTTCCCTAAGAAATATATATATATATATATATAGAATCATATTCGTTCTACCAATCGTTTTTTCCTCTCCACATTAGGCAGTGTTCAATATCTGTGAGAATTATTTTATTCGGAAATAATGGTAAAAAAAAAAAAAAAAAAAAAAAAAAAAATTTGTTAAAACTGTCAAACTTTCCCATAGACCCCTCATGTAATTTCACATGAGATTTGATTAAACAAAAAATAAATAATAAAATTAATATTTTAATCATTTTAATATTACTAAATATAGTAAATTATATCTGTCGTTTGCTTTTATTTCGAATTTTTTTTTTTTTGTTTTTCCCCCCACTCTTCCCCCAAATAAAAACAAAACACTAATACGGAAGTTTTTTTTTTTTTTTTTCTTACCTTCGGCCGCACTCATTTGTCGCTGACAATCGAAATTTGTAGCACGTAGCTGGTTGTAATCTTAAAATGTTGTGTTGTTTGCTTTTGCCTTTGTAAATGTCTACAAAACCGTTTCCCTTTCCTTCATCAGATTCTAGTATGTACTGTGTAATGTGCGATCCATTATCCGGAGGTGCGCTCCACCTCAATTGCATGCTGTTACGCGTGCGAGAAATACATTTGGGTGGTGATGGTGGATCCGGAGCACAAGGAGGAGTTGTAAAGACTTTTGGCTCCGATGCAGAACCTTGAAGATCATCTAAATGAACTTTGAGACATACAGAGTACTCTGAGCCTGGTCTAAGATCTTCAATTCTGAAATTATCAAATGCCAAAAAAAAAAAAAAACAATTCGATTGAATTTTAAGTTTAAAATTAAAGTAAAATGAATATTTTCATTATATTATTTTTTTCCTTGAAAAAAAAAAAAAAAATTTAAAACACTTAGGCCACAGGTAATGAAACAAAATTATTGAATACAAAAAGAAAATAATAATAATAATAATAATAATTACACCACACGCTATTTTATTGTTGCTGATATGAAAAATTTTACTACGGAAAATAATATTTTTAAAATGCACCAATGATCTAAAATAATGGGTATTGTTTGAAAGTAATTAAAAAAGATCAAATGAAGTATTTATTAAAATGTTTTTTATACTAAATGCGATGCTGGAAGAAGAAGAAGAAGAATTGTTTTGTTTTCATAAATGACTTAATAATTTCAATGAACTAACAAAGGATGAAACTTTTTTTTTTCCAATGTAGGTAAGAGCTCAATTACGATATTTTCAATTGATGCCATTCAAAGTGTTTAACCATTGGAGAAATTTCATATCAAATTTAATTTTTGAAATGAAACTATTATCCTAATAGGTAAATTGTTAAATCCTACAAAAGAATTGAATTATTGAAAATTTCAAAACAATTAAAATTATAAAGAAAACTTTACAATTTATAATTTTATTTTATTTTTTGATGAATTGAATAAAAAAAAAGTACAAGTGTTTTGTTCAGTACAGCCGGAATTATTATTATTATTTTTTTTTTATAATTCTACGTAAATTTTCTCGCTATTGATTGCGAGAGAAAAACAAAAAATTAAAAATAAAATTTTCAATCAAGTCATAAAAGATTATGCATAACTTTCAACAACTTGATGAATAATTTTTTTTTTTTTAATTTTAACGGAAAATTTAGTAAAAAGTATTTTCTCGCATACGAAATCTTAAAAATAATAACACATTAAAAAGCTCAATATTTAAAAAAAGTAAAATGAATTAAAAAACTGCATTACTTATAAATTATACAGCGAGTTTTTTCAATTGCGTTTAATTCGTAATGATTATTTTGATTTTTCTGAAATTAAAGAAAAGTAAAAATTCAAATTCACTCACCGACATGATAAAGAACATCCATTGTAAATAGATCTATATTTTCCACCTTTGGCAATGTCAGCTAAGAGCACTTCATATCCTAATTCAGATTCCGAAATATCCAATTCGCTGTTTTTTTCATTCTCTGAAAGAGCCGACCATGATAACAGGGCGCTTCTGGGCAACAATTCAATGACTTGCGGCGAAGATACCGAAGATAGCATATCGATGATAACAGATGATTCAACGTCATCGTCTTGAACGCTAGAATTTTCTTCTCCATCTTCGGACGTTCCAACAGAATTTCTGCCCTTATCTTTTCCAGACCCTAAGTTGGAATAAGGTTTTCAGTTTAAATCCATTAATAACATCTGAGAAGAACAAAGCCCTGACATGAGTTACATTACGTTAAAAACGACTTAATAACCGGAAAGCAACTTTGTTTTCTATTTAATCTTTTAAGACGAACTATCAGGAAGAGTAAAATTTTAATTAAAAAAAAAAAGTCACAACTTCTTACCTTTTTTAGGTGAAAATGGAGGACTCGGTAAGCTTTGATCGACCCTTTGTTGTTTTTGTTCAAGCTTTTTTTTAAGTTTATTATATTGCCTTATAGTTCTTTCATCTTTATGAAAATGAGTGGGAGCAGGAGGAGAAGAATGTCCCGGAGCGTTGCTTAATACGCTAGCTTGAAGCGGAGCAAAATGAGGTTGAGGATAAGTTGGCATCTGAGTGGCAAAAAATGGCTGAGGAGGTTGATTCGATCCGGATGCTGCACCTGATGCCTAAAAAATAATATTAATGCTTTTAAATCATTTAAATAATAATATTTTTGATTAAAATTTTCAAATTTTGTGTTTTTTTTTGACGTATTAAAAAAAAAAAAAAAAAAAAGGGGAAAACTAAATAATACTAACGTAGTGCGGAGGCAAAGGTACCATTGGATGAGGACTGGGAGATAATATAACGTGACGCAGAGCCCCACTTTCATCTACTATTTGTTGAACGAGATGACCAGGTGGCACTTGAACTGGCATTGGAATCGGTGGCGACGAATTCGTCGACACCATTGGAACTGTCACCGGACCTGAAATTTCATTAAAAAATTATAAAAAGACACGAAAAGTATATATTCATATTAATATCAAAAATTTTATTTTTTGAGTTGTTCATTCAAAAAAACACCAAAAGAAAATAAAAAATAAAATATTAGATCAATTATTTAATGAGGACAATTAAAAAAAAAAAAAAAAACCCTTTTTTTCCTTATAAAAAATGAGTAAGATAATTTTTAAAAAAATTTTAAAAATACATTTATGAAATATATAATAGATTAAACGTGTTCGCGACCTTGTATCTTTAAAATTTCAAAGGAATCTTTCATTCACTTTTGACTTTTCACCAGCTTTTACGAAGTTCGTTGCACATTTAAAACAATTATTGCGGTATAATAATAATAATAATAATAATAATAATAAAAAGCAAACAAAAAATTTAAATACTACTGAAGTTGCATTTTAAAGATTGCAAAACAGGACTAATCAAACAATTTCATTCTGTAGAATTTACAGCATTTTAAAAAATGAATAAAAAATAATAATAATAATAATAATACACACGAAACGAGGCCATCGTTGTTCCTTCCTATTCTAGTGTATAAAACGACATCAATCCAACAAATTATTACACAAATTTTTTTTACTTTTTTCTTTTCTTTTCTTTTCTTTTTTTTTTTTTTTAATCTTTCAATCTCTTTCCCTCATCTTTCCTCTTAACATACGCTGGCATTTAAATTTTTAATAGTTTAAAATCACGTGATTTTGGGTAAACGTTCGATATGAAAATTATTATTTAAATTGTATCTATTTATTTTTATCATTAATAGTGTTTTGTACGAGTGTGATGTTATGTTTTTCCTGCTTGTCTTTCCTTCTTTCTTCTCTCTGGGTCTCCACTTTCGGTCATGATTACTCTATCATGTCTGAGTACATTCGTAATGCGAAGAAAAAGAATTAAGTATTTCTTTTACTCTTCTGTACTGTAGAAAGCAAGATGTTCTCACTCAACAGGTTTGAGTTTTAACTGAAAGTCGATCACTTCGTTTGCAAACAAAGCCGAGTAACTTCACGATCACTGCACTAAATTGATGATGAATGAATGATAGCAAAAGTTGACGGATAGACGAACGTCATCGGAAGAACGCGACAAAATCAGAAAAAGAACCGTTTCTTCAGGATCTCCATAATCTCCTTTTATGTGTCGCACTATCACCGCAATAAAAGCTCTATCAATGAGCATAGTAAAAACAAAAAGGAAAGAACCTTTTGGAAGGTTCGCTTCTACTTTTACTATTTTGATACCTATTGTTACTGTTTTTTGGTGTTTATAACGTCTATTAATGATTTAATGAATAAATTAGGGAGACGGGAACATAACAATAGTTGTAATATTTTCGCAAAGGAAATTTTTCAAATGTTTTAAAATCACATATTTCAAAATTTGATTCTTTCTACGGATTCTTGCAATAGCTGACCTTACAGATGACGACCATATTATTTTGATGCTAATAAACAAATATTTTACAATATATATATTGTCAACGCGTGTCGCTTGAATGACTCTTAATAAAACTCTGAATAAGCATTCTATTATTTAAACGTTTTATTTTGATTAATTAAACTTTTGCATTTACTTCCCTTAACATTTTTAGATCAAAGTCTAATAAATATCTTTTTAAAAACCAATTTATTGCTTCGTCGGATATTTCAACACAGCAAAAAAAAAAACATAAATAAATAAATTTTTGTGATAACCGAGTTGATAAAATTGCTTAAAATCTATACGTTGTTAAATTTTTCAAAAATTTTGAAAATACATCCTTTTTAAAAAAAAGTATATGCCAACATATAATATTTTATGAATACAACAAATATATATTTATTTAATTAAAAAAAACTTTTTTTTTTTTTTTGTGAGGTAATAGAGACACAAGTGAAGTCAAAAAAAAAAAAAAAAACATATAAAACGATAAATATTTTGGGTCCACCGAAAAAACCTTCATTTGATTACTGATCATAAATTTTAAAATTTTATGAATTTTTGATAACATTCACAACCAATGGTCTCTCATGGTCTTTTGCATTATCATCATTCAATGCACGCACGCACAAAACACATACACACGTATCACATTTATCAATATTTAAATTTAAATTCAATAATTTACTAAAAACAAAAATCGTTCGAATTCATATTAAAAAAAAAAAAAAATTTCATTTCATTTAAATTTAATACTAAAATTCATTTCGGCCCTTTACCATTCAATGAATTTCAAATTAAAGAAATCATCATATTGAAGAAGATACAATCTCAAAAATCTACAAACTCAATTTTCAATAAAATTTGTTAGGTAAAACTATTTTAAAAATCACAAAAACCAAAAATTATAAATTTTTCTTTAAACCTTTATATATAATAAAATTTCTAGTTAAAAGTTTAGTTAAAAAAAAAAAAAGCGTAAAAGTTACCGCATAATTTATATATAGACCTAATTAATTTTTTAAAATATAATTTTGTTATAATTTTAAAATAAATTAAACTTTTTTATTTTAAAAACACAAAAAAAAAAAAAACAATTATTTACTAACTCTGAAGTTACAATTAGTAATTCATACACCGCGATTAGCAAAATATCAAAAATTTGAAGATGAAAGATTTGCAAGATTTACAAATACCGACATATTTTTTTATATTTAGTGTAAAAAGTCTTTCCAACAAATAATAATTCGAAATATCATTTTTCCCTTAGAAAAAATAAAAAATAAATAAATAACAACGTTGTCAAGTCAAAATCAAATACAATACTGAGTATTTAAAGCATAATTGATGAAACATCAGATTCATCGATTTAGGCTGTTTCTGTCATTTTTTTAATTACATCTAGAATTTAATAATAATATTTAAAATTTATGTTTAGTCAATGATTTCAGCAAAAGACTTGCGAAAGCTTTAAAATAAGGTTTTCCCCCCTCCCCCTTTTTTTTTGTAGGAGAAGAAAAATAAATTTTTTCTTAACCGTTCTCACGTTTTTAAAATTTGAACATCAACTTTTTGAAATTAAATAAAAAGTTTTATAAAGTATTTCGCAAAAAGTTTATAAATCACTATATTTGAAAATCATCATAAAATACATAGAGAGAGAGAGAGAGAGAGAGAGAGTCGTGGAGGAAAAACATAAGAATGAAAATTCCACAAAAAAAAAAGAAATGGTTAAGAAAAAAAAAAATTTTCATAATTTCGAAATATTAGGACAATTTTTATGTTTAAAAAATACAAATTAACCATAAAAAATTTTTACCTAATAGTAATTGTATAAAAATTTATATACTTTATTCTTATTTGCTTATTTAGACACTCTACTATCCGTATATACTCTTAAATTTGAAATTGTTTATTATTTTCGCATAAAAATTAACAAAATCACTAATTTTAATAATATATTACGTATATCTGTTGTTTTTAGTCTGTACTTGGGTGGTTTCTCCGAGAAATAAATTTTTTAAAATTTAAATACCTGTAACACTTAATCTAATCTAATCTTAAAAATTATATAAGGAAATTAAAAAAAAAAGATGTTGTCTTAAAAATGTTGTTCGAGACTATAAGACTGCTTTGATATAAGGAATAAGTTTTTTTTTTTTTTTCACAAATAAACCATGTGAACAATAAGTGTATAGTCATATAAAGGATAATACAAAGCAGGTGTATTATTTAGAATCACATCAATGGTTCCACGTGGTGTACAATGAATGAATTAAATAGTGTAAAAACTTTTGATTCGTGACGGCGTAAAGGTGGTAAATAACTCATAAGTAGGGTTTCAATTCTAAAAATTAAAAAAAAAATATGGAGCGAACGTTCTGGACCTCATTTTCAAAACTAAAAGACGAGTTTTTTTAAACTTGTCATTTTCCAAAATTTTTTTACAAGAAGGTAATAAGATCCAGAATTTAGAGTGTATAAATTTTCGATGCAAACAAACTTGTTTTAAAGGGAATATTTTCAGGTTCCCAAAAATTTGCGTTGTCTTGTACTGCTCCTTTTTTTTTTTTTTTGGTGCTAAAATCTTCCTACCATCTTTACCACTAGCACGCGACCTGTTCATTTTTCCTTCAAATCCTCTAGTTCCTTGGTTAAGATAAAGTATTTCCTTTTATGTTCAATACAGGAACTGCTAATGCACAAATCCCGTTTGTTTTATTTCTTTCATCTTACTACAAACTGTGTTGTAAGCTTTTCTCTCTAGGAATAATTTTTTTACACACAGAATTATTTGACTTCGTATCAGTCCGCATATTTGAGAATTGGCAGTGACACGCAACTGTATTTTTGAATTTTGTAAATGTCACTTCTCTTTTTCAGATTTTGTTATTTGATTCTTTTTCGGCTGTTTTGGTGTGTTATGTATGTGAGTCCTTGCAATCATATTTTGAAAGTAATAATTTTCGCTTTCACTTTAACATTGTAGCAATTTCGATCTCTAAAAAGTCTAGCTGTTATAAATATTTTATACAGCTCTTTTTGACTCGGTGTTTTTTATTTTTTTCGACGGGGAAATATTTTAAGAGTAGATTATATCACTTTTCTAAAACAGCGTTTCTCTTCACTTACTACGTCGACCTTATCAATTTGAACTTCCCCGTTAGTAGGCACCCGTCGATATTAGAGTATTTTACTGACTTTTGTAATGAGTGACAGCTTCCTTCAAGATGAATAAATTTAAATTTTCACTCGTTTTTTTACTTCCAAAATTTTATTGAAAATTATCAAAATTAACACTAAATAAAATAAAATTGTTATCAAATTTATAATCAAAAATATAATAATTATAAATATATTGTTATATTCGGTTCGTTCTTTATTTTTGTAAGTAATGAACAAGCACTTAAAACTATCACAAAACTAATATTAATAAACAAGAACTTATTACAGCTAGACTAAAAATCAAATGAACCAACGCCAAGCTGTGTAGCTTGCCTATATTACTTTTGTCTTTCGTCAGTCAACTGTTTCGAATGTTCGAGCAAACACTTGCAAATAAAATAAAAGAAGGAGTCTTTAGAAGCTTCGCTTCTAAAGAAGAACAATTTGAGTTCGTCGCCAGTCTTTTGTTTATAAAAAGTTGAAAATGTGAATATTGAGTACGGGATCATAACACCTCCCCCCTTAAGACGGAAACAATTATTTGAAAAAGAATTGTTTCTCCTCTTGTTCGGATTTGACAGCTTCCTATGTCGGGTTCTGAATGGTTCCGTCCAGGTTGAGACTCCTTGAGTAGTAGTAGGTGCTATGTCTTCTGTATGGTAGACTGTTGTATCTCTTCACATTGGCTTCTTATCAGGAACATAATTTTAAGCTTTATAGCTGCAAGTAGTAGAACCTTTCCTAGGCAATACTCGTTAGTGAACAATGTTTCATAAAGAGTAAAGATAAAAGAATAAAATTATGAGACATAAAATTCGAAACAAAATTGACATAAGTTCTGAAAAATACAAGAATTTTATATAGGAAACATAGAATAATGATTAGAAATAGAATAAATGGATTAATAATAAAATAAATGATGATTAGCTGTATGAGGAAAAATTAAAGGATTAAATTATTATTATTTTGGATTTCTCTCTTTTTAGATCAACTACTCAGAACACGGTTTTGCGATAAGTAACTTCCTTGTTACGGATTTTTAATAAAACGTTTTTGCCAGATATTTTCTTGACCTCGTATGGATCCTTAAATTCAGGACTAAGTTTTTCATTGAGATTTCCTCTTGCTAATTCTTGACTGGTTTGAATCTTCTCTTTTTCATTAGACGATAGGTGAACTTTACTTAGTAAAAATAGCTTTACCTCAGGAATAGCCTTTTCGTGAAAATCGGTTGACATAAGAATGGATGCTTTCTTCCTAGATTTCTTGGTACTGGAATTCCATTTCCGCTTTTTAGTATGCTTCCCAAAATTATACTTGTGAATTTTTTTAGTAGCTCCTATATTTTTATTTGAAATTTTTGTTTCCTTTTGAATTTCAGCTTTAGGATGATTTTTAGGTTTTGAATTCTGTATGGATGATCTTTCTTTTCCTTTTGTTTTCACTTCTTTTACTTTTAGACCTTTTTTCTTATTTTTATTTTTAGGAAGTAATGGTGCTTCTTTAGCCTTTTTCTTAGATAAATTTGTAGAGGGTGCTTCTTTAGCCTTTTTCTTAGATAAATTTGTAGAGGGTGCTTCTTTAGCCTTTTTCTTAGATAAATTTGTAGAGGGTGCTTCTTTAGCCTTTCTCTTAGATAAATTTGTAGAGGGTGCTTCTTTAGCCTTTCTCTTAGATAAATTTGTAGAGGGTGCTTCTTTAGCCTTTCTCTTAGATAAATTTGTAGAGGGTGCTTCTTTAGCCTTTCTCTTAGATAAATTTGTAGAGGGTGCTTCTTTAGCCTTTCTCTTAGATAAATTTGTAGAGGGTGCTTCTTTAGCCTTTCTCTTAGATAAATTTGTAGAGGGTGCTTCTTTAGCCTTTCTCTTAGATAAATTTGTAGAGGGTGCTTCTTTAGCCTTTCTCTTAGATAAATTTGTAGAGGGTGCTTCTTTAGCCTTTCTCTTAGATAAATTTGTAGAGGGTGCTTCTTTAGCCTTTCTCTTAGATAAATTTGTAGAGGGTGCTTCTTTAGCCTTTCTCTTAGATAAATTTGTAGAGGGTGCTTCTTTAGCCTTTCTCTTAGATAAATTTGTAGAGGGTGCTTCTTTAGCCTTTCTCTTAGATAAATTTGTAGAGGGTGCTTCTTTAGCCTTTTTCTTAGATAAATTTGTAGAGGGTGCTTTTTCCTCTTGAGCAGGAATTGATCCTGGTAAAGAATCTGTTTTCTCTTCAACTTCAAGTTTGGATTCTGGTAAAGGATCTGTTTTCTCTTCAACTTCAAGTTTGGATTCTGGTAAAGGATCTGTTTTCTCTTTAACTTCAAGTTTGGATTCTGGTAAAGGATCCGTTTTCTCTTCAACTTCAAGTTTGGATTCTGGTAAAGGATCTGTTTTCTCTTTAACTTCAAGTTTGGATTCTGGTAAAGGATCTGTTTTCTCTTTAACTTCAAGTTTGGATTCTGGTAAAGGATCTGTTTTCTCTTTAACTTCAAGTTTGGATTCTGGTAAAGGATCTGTTTTCTCTTTAACTTCAAGTTTGGATTCTGTAATTTCTAAAATTTTAAGTTTTTCCTTCAATTTTATTGTGTTATCTTCACAGTGGATACATGTTGATTTTTGTCTGCGATTTGTCAACTCTTTTATCAGTTGACTATGGGGTTTCTTGTCTTGGTATAATTCTATTAATTTCGTTTTTACGTCATCCCAATTATCAAAATCGTACAAAGAAATTCGAATCTTGGCATTACCAGTGATTCTGGAGTAGATGAATCTGAAGAGTGGATACTTATTCTCTTCAGAGGACAATTCGATAGCATTATCACAATCAGAGATAAATGCATTAAGTTGGTTCCTTTCTCCGGAAAAGAAATTAGGAATTAGACTACACAAGAAATCAAGGGGTATTTGGGATGGGTCGAAAACAGGTTGATCAAGTTTAGGCATTGTTCACAAAATGAGTTACCTATTACTACTACTTACAATATAAAGAAATTCTGATAAAGAGTTAAAACCCACCAACATGAAACGAATTACTTAAGAATTCTCCGGTTTCTTGTCGTTCAGAATGATCCTTCATCGACTGCGCCAAAATTTTAATATGTTATATTCGGTTCGTTCTTTATTTTTGTAAGTAATGAACAAGCACTTAAAACTATCACAAAACTAATATTAATAAACAAGAACTTATTACAGCTAGACTAAAAATCAAATGAACCAACGCCAAGCTGTGTAGCTTGCCTATATTACTTTTGTCTTTCGTCAGTCAACTGTTTCGAATGTTCGAGCAAACACTTGCAAATAAAATAAAAGAAGGAGTCTTTAGAAGCTTCGCTTCTAAAGAAGAACAATTTGAGTTCGTCGCCAGTCTTTTGTTTATAAAAAGTTGAAAATGTGAATATTGAGTACGGGATCATAACAATATTTATACGCTAGTATAAAAATAATACAATTATCAAAATTAATACCGAAATGATTAAATGTTTTTTTTAAACGTTAATGAGCGACAGTTTTTAATTTGCCATTTTACTAACACCACATGCATTATCATGCTTTACTTGATAAATTTTGAATTAATTTTTTTTTTATTTAAATTGCATTTGGAAGCCGTTAATAATGATACCAGAGGGTTTTTGACCCTTTAGGTATTCGTTCACGCAATTTACACAAAAAAAATTTTCTAATATTATTCAATGTTTTTCTTTTTCACACATAACTATTTTTGTAACCCATAGTGTAAAATTTGTGTTACGTTTACGCGATGTTTTTTAGAAAATTTTTTTATAATATAAAAAAAATTATATTTTCTGTATAATATTCACTGATAAATGTTAATACGAGTAATACTATTTTCGTGTATTATATATTTTCATATTTACAGTATACATCATTAGCTTTGTGTGAATTAATTTTAAAAGACACGAATTGACATTTACGGATATCAAGGTTTTTTGTTGTTATATTTAAACAAAAATCAAGCCCAGACAAAATAAAAATATGATAGCTGCAGAAAGTATAACCTTGAATATATTTAATAAAAGAAATCAAGTGGATTGATTTAGAGATACTTCCCCCTGGTCGAAACCGAAGACCGAGTTACCTATTTTCACTTTTTAACCTTAGATAGATTAAAAAAAAACACGATCACACAAAAAAACTTCCCGAAAACCATTATTAAATTTTTTATTGAAATTAATTCTTTTTTTTTTTTTAAGGAATCCCCACTGAAAAATCAAATGATTTAAAATTTAAAAAAATTATAAAAAGCTAGTAATCAATTACAAGAAAGTCAAAATAAAAGAGTTTTTAGAAGGTGTAGATAAAGTTCGAATATATAATATTAATATGAGAAAATGACTATCCACTACACAGTTTGGCATACTCATTTTAGTTTTATTTATTTAATAAAACAAAACTGAAGAATATAGTAACAACATGAACTACTTTTGTGAATCAATTTTACTTCATTTATTACAAAGCATCTTAAAAAAATTTTCTTTTTTTTTTTACTACTTTTTAAAATAATTTTCAACAGTTTGTTTGTTTGTTTTTTTTTTTCCCGTTTTCTCCCGATATTACGGACCTTAATTTGAATGAAATGCAGAAGCTTATCTTGAAACCATATTAAAAAAATTTATGGGTCAGATAAAAACTCAAAGAGCAAAATAGATAAATTTTGACTGTTACAAAAAGAAGATTAAGTTAAAAATCTTTTTTTTTAAATTTTGAAATTTTAAAACATTGAAAATTAATAATTTATAATAAAATATAGTATTATTTAATTGTTAATTATTCATTTTTTTTTTTTTTTTTTTTTAAATAAACAACAATCAAATAAAATTTATTTAAACCTTCGACATTTCCAATGAGCATTTTCACGTATGAAAAATAAAAATTCGCCTAAATGTTAAATGAAAACAAAAATTTAATAAAATTTTTTTTTTTTTTTTTTTTTTTTGAAAAATTAATGTTTGTAATGATCTGACAAAACGTAATACATATTTAGAAAAAAATTTGATACCTAATAATTTTCGTATTTATTTCTTTTCTTTATCAAATTAGTATAATATTATTAAATAAAAAAAAAAAAAAATAATGAGTAAACTATTAGAAAATATGATTTTTATATAAAATTAATATTTTTTTTTCTTTTAAGTTTCCGCAGAAATGAATTTTACTTAATTGGACAAGCTTTATTAATTATTAAAAAAAAAACGTTTTCACTTTTATTCAAATAATAACTCACCATAGTCTCCATGAACTGTACAAATTTGATGTTGCTGTCCTTGTTGAGGACATGAATCCTGTTGCTGTATATAGAAATCCGAGTAATAATCATATTGAGTACAATACATGTCCTCATTATTATAAGAGTCCACCGTTTGACCTGCCACCATATCATAAGTTATTATTTTTTTTAAGTCACTGACTCTGACCACCAATTTTATTTTCTAAATCAAATAACATTCACCACACATAAAAACTACATAACTTTTCTTTTTTTAAATTAATAAAAATTAATTTTCCATTTGCAGCTTTAGTTTCACATATTATATACATATATGTAGTATCTCCCCCCTCAAAAAAAAAAAATTTTCTACACCTATAAAATCAAAAAAAAATTGAAAGGTTTGAGTATAAAAAACAAAAAAAAAAAAAGTAACCCACATTATTTAAAAAAATGTTATAAAATGCACCCCCGATATTTAAGCATTTATTTATTCCTAAGGAATCGAGTAGAAAACTGTAATGAATGATGAAAAATTTTTTAAAATATAACAAAGAATTGTCATATTAATAATAACAAAAAAAAACTGAAGGTAGATAATAAATTTACCAAAAAAAATTACTACGTCATTTCATATATATGCACATAGATATATATAAGTAATAAATACCGTAAGTATAATTAAATATATAAAAATAATATCATTAATAATAATTCTGTGTTGTTTGACTTAACATCTTTTACAATTTGTTTAGTTAATTTTTTGAAAAATTTAAAATGCAATGATTTTATTCATAAAAATTTAAGGAATCACTCAATATCATCAACAACGTTCTGAATTAATGATAAAAACACACTAGATCGATCACCTGATTACAATTACATAGGCTTTTCCTTATTATTAAACACCCTGTATTTTTCATCCTTTCTATAAACAAACATTTTTCCATGTTGACAAAAATAAATTTTTCTTTCCCCACCCCCCCCATGATGCCCACATATTTTCTTATTAGCCTTATTATATATTTTATGATTTTACAATCCACCGAAATAAATATTTATTTTTTTCACCATTTTATTTTATTTCATTTTTTAGTAATTATTAATATTTATAGATCAATTAAAACTTTAATAGATTAATTACAAACTATAGTTTGGTTTCTACAAAAAAAAATATATATATATATATATAGAAAATATTTACGGCTTTAAAATTTATAATTCTCCATCGAATGATCACTCAATTTGTAAAGTAAATAAATTCTAAAGTTATAATTGAAAATCTTCAGGAATTTATAATTTTTTCATTCATTGTTATTAATTAGAAAAGCTCATATTATGGATTCTTCTGAACGTAATTTTATATTCTGCAATTAATATTAATATAAGAAGGGAAGAAAGTTTGATAACAAACGTGGGACTAAAAAAACACCAATTTTTCCCATTTCGAAAAACCATGCGAAATAAACGTGCCAGCCAATTGAAAGAATACAAAAATCTCACCCTACTATTATTATTATTATTATTTCTATCCATCCTTACACACTATGCATTGTGCTGAGGTTTGTATTCATTTATTTTAGAACTCAAACTGAATTACTCAAGATCCCTTGAATGCTAATTACAAAATTTTTTTTGTTAATACGAAAGCGATATATAACAATCCAATGCAACCTCATTTATTTTATTTTCAACTTCTTTCGGAATTTCATTTAAATTTTTCTTATTTAGTTCCATTTGAATGTTTATCCGTCCTTGTTAAAATTTTTAGTATTTTTCATATTATTTTCAAAAATGAATTATTATTATTATTATTTTTTTTTTTTTCAGGGTTTTTAGTACTTCATTTCGTTTCGAAATTCAATCAATCATTCTAAAAAGAATTTTTATGACACATTCTGCAAAAATGTGTACGTGAAGTCCACGCAACACCCATATATTGTGGAATTTTCAATTTTTCTAGAATCCTTTCTTCCTCCACCCCCTCCTTCAGATTATTATGATAATGTTATGGCTTTTAATACTCTATCATCATACTTTTTTTTTTTTTTTTAATTTCAATTTTCTGAACGTTTTCAAATCAGTTTTTTTATTTTTAACGAATTCAGAAAAAAAAATACTTAAAAATCTTTTTTTTTATTTTCATTTTTATTTTTACGCAAATAAAAATAGTTTTAATTAAAATTTATTATTTATAGATTAAATTAATAAATGACTTAAGGTAATACGAAATACGAATTTCTAAGAAATTAAAAAAAAAAAAGATTTAAAGGATTAATTTTTCTTTTTAAAAATAAAGCTCGCGAAAAAAAAAAAAATGTATCTTTGCTCTTTGATTTAATGTTAATTAAATAATTTTAAATAAATTAATAATTATCATTTGAATTTTGATGAAACATGATTAATGTGTTAATATATTTTATTTCTATTAACTTTACTAATTTATTGATTATTTTAGAACGAATATAATTTTAAAATCAACACACACATACAAAAAAGAAAATTAAGAACACCATCTAACAAATCATGAACAGGTATAAAAATTAAACTACTAATGAATCATTAATTTTAAAACAGAAAATAAACGATAAAATATTGATTTAACCAGTAAAAAAAAAGTAATGATGTTTGTTTATTAAAATTAAGTTGGTAAAAAAATTTTTAAATTTAAATAAGAAATCATGCTTATTTTATTTTGTGAATAAGGGAAGAAAAAAAGAAAAAATTTAATTCAACAAGGTTTAATCCCCTCAATTTCCAAAGCATGTAGTCGTTCATATAATAAATTGAGCAATTCAAAGAAAACCATCTTTGAAACTCTGGCTAGAATAATTATGAAGCTTAATTACTGACCCAAACAGAGATGATATTCACAAATAATTATTCAACTGTCTCATCATATAATATTATAAACTGACGTTAAAAAAGCTTTTAAAAAAATTTTTCCCCCTATAAAAATACGGTTTTAAATATTGTGCAGATTTTTTTTTTTTTTTAAACGAAAGCACCATTAATCACAATATTACTATTCATCTCTCAATAACTTTGAATAATAAAATAATAATTATCAAATATATGAAATATATATTGATATTCATTAAAAATACTAAAAAATTCTTATAGAAGTAAAAAGTATGACGTTCTGTTAACATTTATTATAATAATGATTTTCAACTCGTTCAAAAATTAAAAATTTTATAAAATTTACTGCCTAAGCTTAAAAAAATTTAATAATCACTATCAAAAAAAAAGGCTTTATCATTATAATAAATTATATTAAAAAAAAAAAAAAAAAAAAAAAAAAACGTTAAAACTTTTCGAAATATGATTTTTAAAATAAGGAATGAATGACCAAATGACGTCATTTGGTAACGTCACATCACGTACGAGAATTATTATTATTATTATTATTATTATTATTATTATTATTATTATTATTATTATTATTATTATTATTATTATAACCGTTATAATAACATTAATTAATACAAATTGAAAACTTATCAATTGAAAAAATTTCGAAAGTTTTGAGTAAATTATCAAAACTTTCTTTTAAAGTTCTTTTTAAAAATTGATGTAAAAGATATGATTTTCCGAAAATAAATAATTTTTTAAAAAATTGTTCATGACGTATAATAAGAAATATAAGAAAAATAAATTACTAGATTAAACTTCTTACGTTTACATAAACTGTAATAATGACTCCCCTCCTGTAATTCCCTTATTTTTTCTTAATACGTGTATTCATTCAAATGTAAATAAATAACGCTTTTCACTTAATAAAACAATTTTTCAGCGCTCTCTAATTATATAATTATAAAAAAATCTATTTTTACTATATTTAAATAAAACATAAATTTAAAAACAAAAAATCTTCATGTAATTTTAATAATAGTAACAATAATTAGTAATGGTTAGATTAATCATTATTTTAACGTAACGAACAATCAAAAAAAAAAAAAAAAAAGCACGACTAATAAAAAGCTTCGCAGTAGGTATTTTCGAGGTGGGCCGTTCAACAAGAATCAAATCAAAAACAGTTTGTACACCGTATCGAACAATCGAACATTTGTTTCGCGATAAAATTTTTAATGACAATTAAAAAATCAACGGTAATAATACAAGAGAAATAATTTCACTCTTAATACCATAATAAAAATTTAAAAAAAAAAAAAAAAAACTATTTATGATGTGAGAGCTACTTTGAATACACTCGTATCTAAAACACGACCGATTTATTTATTTTGACATCCTAGTTGAAAATGGAAAAATTCATTTTAACTATTTAATATCCAATATTTTTCTTTTTTCCCCTCATTTTTATTAATTACTTACAAACAAACTACTTAAAAGACTTAAATATTATATATATTTAAAGCAACATTGAGATAAAATAATAGATTGAAAAACATTTCACGCCGAATCTAATGTTTGACTAAAATCTGACTACGTGTCTACAATGGAGGTGCAGTTTTTGTGGTTCGTCAACCGGCTCTTTTTTAAACATGGAAGCACGAGGCATAATTTTTTGTTTATGAAGACAACCATTTGAGTTCCGAGAATGTTCGAAATGTTCCGAAGTTAGAAGGTCACTCACTCTTTTTCATGTCAATGAACGATCCGCGATGCTAATATATTTTCTTATTACCATATTGGCTTGCATAATTGGAATAGAATAGCATTTACAACACAAAAGAGAAAAGAAAAACAGAAACAAAATAAATAGCGAACGAACAATTATTTTATATGTAAACAATATTAAATATTACCTCGAGTAAAAACTAATTTCAACAAAGTTAAAAATACTTGAAAAACACGAAATTTACATTAAATAAATTTCATTTTGTTATTACCATCGATAGAAACTATAAACTTCATTTTCCGGGGAAAAACTTTTTTTTTTTTGAAATTATCAAAAAAAATGAGGGGTAAATTAACAAATACGCGGATATTAATCAATTTTTTTTTTTTTTTTATTATTTTAAGAAAACAAAAACGTAATTTAAATAATTACATAATATTACCATAATAATACCGTGCATTAATATAAATAAAAATTTATATAAAATTATCACCCATGTAATTAATAAAAAAAAAAAAAAAAAAAAAAGCCATTATAATAAAAACTGGGAGCCTAACCGAATTGCTCATTAACGTAAATAAAATTTAAAATTGAGTACAAACAAATGATAAACCAATAATAAAATTCAAATATACGTCAGTTAGTATTTCCATACTAAAAAATGTCTTAATTATTTAGTATTGCCCCTGATGCCTACTTAAGGAATTCAAAAAAAAAAAAAAAAAAAAAATGTACAAAATCCGTATTATTTAAAAAAAAAAAAAAAAAAAAAAAAAAAAAGAGTGAAAATCATTTAAATTTTATTATTTTTGCAAATCTTATGGCATTGCTATGAATTCACAATTTGTATTTTAAAAACAAAATAATAATAATAATAATAAACATACATCGAAATTTCAATGAATAATTAAAATTTGATTTTTTTTTTAATTTTACGGAAACAAATAATGTCATGTTAAAAAAAAAAAGTTTGACTCTCTCATTATAGAATTAGAATAAAACATGCTAAAATTCAAATACGGTATATTCGAAATAATGAAGATATAAAATATGAATTATGCTACTTTATGCAAGACACAGAGTTTTAAATATTAAACTATCAATAAAATAAATAATTTTACAAGTAAAATCATTTCTATTCAATTAATAAATAATTTTAAATTCCAACTAACTTTTAGAAATACCTAAAATTATTAGGTAATATTCTTCGAATGGAATGAAAACTAAAATCACTTGATTGACTACTACACCAGTAGAGCATGATATAACAACAACTAACTTAGGCGTCAGAACCATAATTTAAACTTTTGTGTTATTACCTTATTAGGTTATTATTTGTCTATTTTAAGGACATATTAAAAAAAATAATTACTTTTCAATTTTTGCGACCATTAAATTCGTGGAAAAAATTTATTGTAATTTTAAGAATTAAAAGAAAACTGACGTATTAAAAAAGCAAACATATAGTTGCAACAGGAAGCAGGAAACTGTCCGATACAGATAAAATGAATAATAACTAATAACATTACGTTATCAGGATATAAAATTATACAAAATGCTATCCCTGTTTGACTTTAAACTACTCCCCCGCTTTAAGTATGCTTATTATAAAAACTAATTCAATAAAAAGACAACAAAAAAATAAAAATTTGAAATTTTCCTTAACAAAAGTGATTTCATTAAGTTATATTATAAAATAAAAAATCTTCTTCTTGTATTGAGTTAAGTTTGGTAGTGATTTTAGAGTAAATAAAGTAAATTGTAATCACGAAAGCTAAACATTTTTTTCAAGTAATTACTTAAAATTTCATTAAAATTGTAATTTTATGAAAACACTAACTTGCAAAAAAAAAAAAAAACTCAAATACAAACAATAATAAAACAATTGTAAACTGTTGTCAATTTTTTTCCCTTTCGCAACACGTAAAATTCAGTTTTTTTTTTAATTACGTCAAATTCGAGAAATAAAATTAATCATTGTCTTAATTGTTTTTTTTTTTTTTAAATTATCTGTGATAACGTGAATAAAAACAGTCACATTTTTTTTTAAAAGTAATATAACTTGACAGCACTTGAAAAAAATTCATTCTTACGCTTCCTGATTTTATTATTTTATCTATTAAAAAATAATATGAAAAACTCTAAAAAAACTACAAAAATAATTCAATTTTAAGTTAAAACGTGAATAAAAAATAATAAGTGATACTTTTCCTATCATTTCTACTAATGACTAATTTTTTTTGTATTAACCCTAAAAAAAAAAGCAAAGAAAAAGAATTTAAATGTATGATCTATAATAAGTTTGATTCTCAAGGACCGAATAATTTTTTTAAAGAATAATTTATCAGAATAGTTTTGAAAATTTCCCCTTTCTCTTATATAAAAACTCATAATTATTCTTTTTATGTAAAATCCACTTTGACAAAAAAAAAAAAATTTTTTTTTGTTTCGCTGACCGATCGCAAAATTGTTATTGGTGAAAACACCGAGATTAAATTTTTAATTCAAGTGCAATCTATCTATATTTATATTGCTCAAAAAAAGAGTAGTTTATGAAAATATAGAATTTTTTTTTTTTTTTTTTTAAGAGGATCAAATTAAATAAAGGTAAGTAATTTATCTTTATAAAGGATTTATCCTAGAATTTGTCTTCTTCTTTTTTTTTTTTTTTTTTTCTATAAGACTAAAAAAATATTTTTTTAAAAATTTCTTATAAATTTGAAAAACTCAATTGAATAAAAAATCCTACATCATTTCGTGGCAAATTATTAATTTAAACTATCGCACTCTAAAAAAACAGTAAAATAAAAATATAATTATACTTGGATTCCTTTTGCAATTCCCATATCTATTATAATCGTCAGCATCGAAACGACATCACGCAATTTTTTCATTCAATTGTAGATAAAGTTTACAATAAACTTTCCTACTTCCTTAAACCTCACCCTCAAATTTTTGTTTATCCCAAAACGTAATAAAAACCTTGTAAGCGAAACAGTGAACAAAAGTGTCATCATTGAATTTATTAAAACCGAATAATAAAAAATTTAAACGGTGCTACCTAATGGTAACCTGAAAAAGACTTTCTAAACATCCGATGCTTCTAAAAACAAGAAAAATGATCAAACTAATTTAACAACCTAAGCAAAACTCAAAAGTTGTCAAAAATTTTGGTATTTGCAATTCCTTCCCCCTGGAATCATATGCTTCCCTCAAAATCCTCAAGTTTTTTGACATTTTTTGCGCTTCACTAAAATACGCTATTAAAAAACTATTTATATGTAAGTATATATATATATATATATATATATATAATGTGTGTGTGTGTGCGTGTGTGTGTGTGTGTATTTATACGTAAAGATACAAGTTCATGACTTTTGACACATTTTTTTTTACCATCAAAAAAAAAAGGTTTACGAGAAAAAATAAATAAAAATTAAACGAGGCTTTCAAATTGCAATAAAAAGCTCACAAAACATAAAGATGTTTGTTTTGTTACTAGTGCCTTTTTTTTTTTTTAATGACCGAAAAAATGCATTTCGCACTAAACTCCCCATCCGGTAACGGGGAGAGTGTGCAACTCAGCCGAGGCCACTACTACTCAAACTAAAACTCCTAGACATGTTTCACTGCGCTCTTTTCCGGAGAAAGGGACGCTCGTGGGAGTTTCACCTACATTTTAGCCTCAACCCCTCCAGAGCCAGAACCATGACTTTTTTTCGATAGTTGATTAGATAAAAAAAAAAAAAAAAAAAAGAATCTTACCTTTAAATACTTGAACGTTTTCTCCCATTTGAAGACTGATTGTCACTCCAGGATAAACATGAAAATCAACAACATGCTGCTGCAATCCTTCATTTGAAACAGTAGACCCTGGAAAACGACCACAAACTGCTCCCTGGGGTTCAAAACCAGGAGGAAATCTTATTGTTGGAGTAGAACTCGAAGTCCCTGCCGGAGCAAATGAATGAAAATGATGATATTGAGTTTGGCACGCAGATTTTCCATTATGACTTGATCTGAGGTTACTGTTAGTTGACAAAGTTATACTTGAAGTTCGTACAGCGGATTGGGCCTGTCGAGGCTCCGCCGTCATTTCTTCCTCCTGAACTTTCACCATTCGGCTTTTATGTACACTGAAAATTTAAATAATGAACAAATTATTACAATGCATCGGTAATAATTATAATTTTATATTTTATTAATGGCATAAAAAACTTATTAATTGAAAACTAAATTAAGAAAATATTAAAGAATCATAAATAAGGTTTATTAGCAAGTGAAGCGTGTATTTTATAATTCTATAAGACACGTAGAAAACTTGGCGAATAAACTAATCTAAGGTATTCCTGTTTAAAAATTTCAAATACTATATGTAGTACACTTAATAAGAATTTGATAAGATACAAAAATAAAAGTATTATACTACAATACTGCATATAGTTCTATGTACAAATATATATTTTTTTCCAAATAAGAAAGAAAAAGTTTATTATAATAAAGTATATGTTTATAACAGTACAATTTCTTTTAAAAATAACTCGTTTAAAAAAAAAAAAAAAAAATTATTAAATAAAAATATTAATTAAAAAATTATTTTTGATGAAAGAATGGAAAGGAAAATTTACAATTGATTTATATTAATTAAAATTTGATAAGTGTTAATAAAATTAAAATTATAAATTAATATTGTCAAATTTTTTAAATTACAATAAAAATAATTTGAATTAATATCAGAATTCATTTAAAAACAGATAATTTTAAGCTAAAGCTTAGAAAAAACACTTTTTGAAAATTTTATAAATGGTTTTATTTAATTTTATCGTAGAATTAAACTTATTTTGATATTTATTATTAATTTATGTTGTTATTTAAACATTAATTGCAAATCAGAATTCGAACGGTTACATTAGATTAAACATGATTGTTGAAAAAACAAATATTTTAACGGAATCATACATACGTGTACACTTATAGTTTCATTGAAAATATTTAAAGTGCCATACACATTGTAAATACTGTTAAACTTTTACTTTTTCTTGAAACATTTTTTAAGTTCTTAAGCGAATAATTTCATTCCCTGTAACCATGTTCTGATAATTTATATTTAATAAATTTTTTTTACAAATGTTTTTTTAGATTCTTTACTTCGACCCTTTTGTTCATAATTACGGGGTATGTAACTCATACTTGTTCGAAGTCAGTTTTTTTTTTTTTTTTTTTTATTTAAATCGAGAAAAGTACAATTAAAATTGTATAAATAAAAAAAATTTATATTAACAAAATTTTTAGTTTTGACGTTTGTTTATACACTTTCCGATTAATTCATTATTTCTTGTAATCACGATCATAACTGTATATGTATTCCACTTTTTTTTTCTTATTACAAATAAAGGGTTGGTAATTACATTATCCAGTACATAACTGTATTGTTATAAGACTGTACCTAAATTAACTTGAGTACGCAAATATTCATTCCGAGTTTATGAAACAAGTAATCAATGCGAATTTTTCTGTTTTTTTTTTTTTTTTTTTTTTTCAGGTTGAGTTAAAATGATTAATTACTTTCATAACCAATTCCCCGCTGTGATTTGTTATTATTTAAATTTTTAACATTATACTTTAGTGATTTCCTCGCCAACCGATCTTTGCACAGAAAACTCGGAAAAGTTTCAGTTGTAATGTTCCTTTGATGAGAATTATAATTCTTAAAAGCAATGATTTTCTTTATTTTGCAGGTTTACTGATGCTGTCTTCTTCCGAAGTCATTTGGCTCTTCAAATTTGAATCCAATCCTCATATTGGCATAATAAGTAAAAATTAATTTTTTTTTTTTTTTGAACCAAGATAATTAACCGATCTTAATATTAAAAAAAATTTAATTTTGTACATATTTTTTATAAAATCAGAGCAGACTTCATTTTAGAACTATCATTAAATTTTACTTTTTTTGAAAGAAAGTCTAAACAAAAATTTTTTACTTCCTTTTACTCTTCAAACTTTAAATCCTAGTCATGGCTTTCTAATTTTTTTATCACAAGGAGGTAGCTTTTTAAGGAATTAATCAGTCAGGCTGAGTTATCAGGCTAATTTTAACATTTTTTCAATAAAATTTTTTCCCCACTTTGTACCTCATTTTAATTGATTGTTATTTTTTCTTTATTGTACAGCCGTAATATTATATTCCAAATAAAATTTAAAAAAAAAACATCAAACATCAAAATTATTAATATACCTAATTTCGTTATTTAAATGATATATCATTACAAATAAACTGCCTGAAATCAAGTTTCGGAAATTTATTATGAGTCAAATTACATAAATAATTTTTTTTTACTGAGAATTAATGACACAAACTTTAAATCAAATAAAAGACTATTTTACGAATGAAATTCGTAAACTATTTAGATTACTATAATTTCATTAAAGTATAAAACATGGAAAAATAAGTAAATAAAAAAAAAATTTGAGCATAATTATTTTTTCTATGTTTTCACAAAAATTTTTAAATTATTGCCGAAAAATTCTATTATGATATTAGTTTTTTTTTTTTTTTTTCTTTAGAAAAATAAACTTTTTAGTTAGTATTTAAGAATTAGAAAATCATCAACATAAAAATTTAATGTTAAATATTTATAGTGTTGATTGTTTTTTGAAATTCCTTATCCATTGCATACATATTGCATATATATATATATATATATACATTTACATTCTTAATTATGTTTATTTTTATTTTATATTAAAACATAAATATACATTATATATTTTTCATTAAATAATGAAATAACCAAAAATTAATGTTTTATATGGTAAAACTTGAAGTAACATACAAAAAAAAATTAATAAAACATTATAATGAAGTTCATAACATAGAGCCCTTTGTGAAAATGTTATAAAAAGCATTTAAAAAATATCAAAACATTAAAAAAAAGTATATTAAGTATTTAAGCAAAATTAGTTACTAAATCTTAACATATTATTAATTATTAAAATAATATTCAATTGTCAATAAACTTCTTTTAAAGTAAATATAAGAATATCTTATTATAATTTGCTGTTAAAACTCATAGAATTGAACTGGTATTAAAGACTTTTTTTTTTAGTATACATGCCAAAATATTTCTTCATTTATATATAAACAACTGAGTCTTGAAGTTTTATAAAACACGTAAATTTTGCATTTAAACAGAGCCAAAAACAAAAAAAAGTAACAATCCAATTTGTCGAATTATATTGATTAATGATTAATACAAAAAATTCCTATTTAATGTAAATAATAATAAAAATATTAATAAAGATAAATTTTACAAAAATTATTAGCGCAAACAAGTGAATATTTAATATTTATTCAAAAATAAAATGCGATTTGATTCAAAACTATGAGTTTAATTTCCTTTTCTTTTCTTTTTTTTTTTTTTCTCTCTCTCAATTTTGTTAAATTTCTCTTACATTATTGGGCATTTTTTAAATTCTAAATAATTAAAAAAAATAATATGGAATATACGTTGCTTTTCCTTTTATAAATTTCAACACTCACTAAATTACATATCTTACGTAAAAATTTAAAGATTGTTTAAACCATAAAAAAAAAAAAAAAAAAAAAAAAATTCAAACGGTTACAAACTATTACAGAAACACATACAAGCAATTTACTTACTCTTATAAAAAGTTAAAAATTCTATTTTTTTTTTTTTTTTTTTAAGATAATGAAAAAGCAAAGAAGAATAAGTAAAAAATAACAAATAGGTATATAAAATAATTAT